TCAGCACCAATACTTTGAATTGTGCCCGGAAACGTACTGGGAGCCAACCACCTGATGAATACAAAGTCTGCCACCACTCACTGTTCTTCCTGTGGAAACAGCTCCCTGATGAAGGCTTCTAGGGCTGGGAGGTGGGGCGAGGCAGGTGGAAAAAGCCATTGCCCGATGAAGAACAAAGTCTCTTTCCCTCTCTTGCCTTTGGCCCAATGCGTTCCCTTGGAAAACACTCTTTAGCTTTCAATTGGAACAAACAGCAGCCTGCGTAAAACCTGGTTTCCATTCAGCGCTAAAGCTGCCTTGCAGCAGCCTCGTGATTAGCACCGTTTTCAAATGCTTGTCTGAGCAGGAAGGTCTCAGCCTGCCAGCAGAAGGAGAACAAGGAGGGACCAGTCTGGCCTTTCTTGGGCAGGAATCCCACAGTCTGGGAGCAGCCACAGAAAAGTCTCTCTCTCTCTCTCTCTCTCTCTCTCTCTCTCTCTCTCTCTCTCTCGTCACTACCCATCATGCTCCTGATGTTGATGGCTCCGAGAGAAGGTGCTCACCTGAAGATCTAAGCAGCTGGGTGGGTTCGTAAAGGGCTTTACAGGTTGCAACCAGCACTTTGAATTGTGCCCGGGACCGGACTGGTAGCCAGTGAAATTGTCTTAATGGGGGAGCAACATGCTTCAGGTGACCAGACCCGGTCAGCACTTTGGCTGCAGTATTCTGGACCAATGGAAGCTTCCAAACACTTTTGAAGGCAGTCCCAGGGGCCGACAGAAGACCCCAGGACTGATCCCCCAAGAGGGCTGGGAAGGACTCCTGCCTGAAATCGTGGTGGAAGCAGTTTGGTGCCATTTTGCTCCGTCTGCATTTATCCACGGGACAGCCTCTGCCTTCCTCTGCTTACTTCCTCCGTCTTGAAGGTGGGAGCGTGTGGAAAGCGCAAGCTGCTATGCTAGTCATTTTCCTCTTCTCCTCTTGATCATTAACATGCTGAAAAGAGCTTGAAAGAAACAGTGCCATTTTTTAAAAAGGGATTTATTCATTTATTCATCAAGGTTAAGGACCCTGAAAAACTGCTGTCGACATCTTTTAGCTCTCAGTTCTTTCAAATCTCACATCCATTATATTCCTAAATCCAGTGCTCCCCCCCTCCCCCCGTCCTCTGCTGGAAGGTTTTTCTCAAGGCAAATCTATTGTTACAGACCTAATGTTACAATAAATCCCTTTAAAAATTCGTTATTCTGGTACAATTGTCTGGAGGGAACGTGGGATCTCTAGAGTTTGGGGAGAATTCTCTGTGCTGTAAAAGTAGCGGAAAGTAATGTTCTCCTTCAACAAAGTCCTAGTTTGGTCCATTTAGTATTGAGGTTCCAACTGATTTGTGTATCACCCATACGGCTCTTTTGCATGGGACAATCTCAGCACAAAACAACTGGGTTTTCTTGTCTGCATACTGCTGGCTGAACTCGTGAAGCCTTCAGCTCCTGGATCTAGCTGTTGTTGTTTTTTGGGGGATGTGCTGTGATCTCAGGGTCCTTCCTGTTAAAGTGCAATTATTTAATTGACGCTGAAATTGTGAATAGTAAATGTGCACTGCTGAAAATATTTAACATGGAAGATGCCATTAGAGTGTTCTATGCCAAACCAAGAGCAAAAAGGGTTCTCTGAGCTGCCTTGATAATTAAGCATTGTTATCAGGTAGCTCTGACTTGGTGTATTAACCTCAGATCGCAGGAGAGGTATTGAATTGCAAATTCGCCTTTTTGGAAGGGTGGTGGCTGCAGTGCAGGCTCTGTGAGAGGGATGTAAATGGACCACTCCAGGTAAACATTGATGCCGAAATCCAGCATCGCCTGAGCTTTGCAAGTGCAGTTTTCTGCCTATTAAAGTGCAGCGTGTTTGAGGAATGGGACATTTGCAGGGAAATCAAAGTGCTCATTTACAAAGCTATTGTACTACCAACCATACTGTATGCTTGTGAAACATGGACCACTTATAAACGCCATCTCCAACTCCTCGAAAGATTCCATCAATGGTGTCTCTGAAATTTTTCACATATCACTTGGGAAGACAGGTGAACTAGTGCCAGTGTACTGGAAGAAGCAAAGATCACCAGTGTTGAAGCAATGATTCTTCAACGTCAACTTCGTTGGACTGGTCATGCTGTGCAGATGCCTGATTATCATCTTCCAAATCAACTACTCTATTCCAAACTAAAAAATGGAAAGCGTAATGCTGGTGGACAACAAAAGAGGTTTAAAGACTCTCTTTTAAAAAGTAGTATAAACACCAACAATTGGCGAGCGCTCCCGTTGGAGAACAGCCTTTACCAAAGGTGTTATGGGCTTTGAAGACACTCGAACTCAGGACGCAAGGGAGAAACGTGCTAAGAGGAAGGCACGCTTGGCAATGTCCCCGCTGTGGAAGGACGTGTGGATCCAGAATTGGCCTCCAAAGTCACTTGCGGACTCACTGTTAAAACCGTATTCATGGAAGACAATCTTACTCGGCTATGAGGGATCGCCAAAGGAGAAGAATTTCCCGAGACACTCCCAGAATTATGAAAGCCATACCTGCTTCTGATTTGATCCTGGAACGCTCCCATTTCCCCTGCCAGTGCCACTGCCATCGCAGCAGTGGCGTCTATGAGGGAGCAGCCTTTTGCCTCTCCATGCCTGTAGTGGCTGCTGGAGGGCAGGTGAGGAGGAGGACCCCAACTGCACATGATGCGCCAGCCCTGAGGTGCAGGCAGTGGGCAGGACAGGAAGAAAGACGGAGCACAAGGAATGTGCCTGTTGTGTGCTTTTATTTTTGTACACCTTCCGAAGAATACAATAAAATAAAACCGGGATTAAAGGGTTTTCTCAGGAGGGTGGAGGGTGCGAATGCTGTGTCCTGTTGGTGTAGAAACAAAAAGTGTGTGTGTATGTGTGTGTGTGTGTGTGTGTCAAGGAGCGGGAAATGTCCCTATTTTCATCTGAGGAATGTTGGAGGGTATGGAATACCTTCATAAATAGATCATATCCCTTTTCCTGATGACAAAGTAATGCCTTCCCCACCCTGCTAACCCCCATCCTCTCCAAAAAGAGGAGAAGTGGCTAATTCTGTGTCCAGGGCAGCTTTTTACCAGCTCCGTCTGGTATGCAGGCTGAGACCCTCCCTGCCTGCAGACTGTCTTTCCAGAGTGGTGCATGCTCTGGTTATCTCCTGCTTAGACTACAGCCATGAGCTCTGCGTGGGGCTACCTTTGAAGGTGACCCGGAAACTACAACTATTCCAGAATGCGGCAGCTAGACTGCTGACTGGGAGCGGCTGCTGAGACCACATAACACCGGTCTTGAAAGACCTACATTGGCTCCCAGTACGTTTCCGAGCACAATTCAAAGTATTGGCGCTGACCTTGAAAGCCCTAAACGGCCTCGGCCCAGTATACCTGAAGGAGTGTCTCCACCCCCATCATTCTGCCCGGACACTGAGGTCCAGCTCCGAGGGCCTTCTGGCAGTTCCCTCACTGTGAGAAGCCAAGTTACAGGGAACCAGGCAGAGGGCCTTCTCGGTAGTGGCGCCCGCCCTGTGGAACACCCTCCCAGCAGATGTCAAAGAGAAGAACAACTACCAGACTTTTAGAAGACATCTGAAGGCAGCCCTGTTTAGGGAAGCTTTTAATGTTTAATGCATTCTTGTATTTTAATATTGTGTTGGAAGCCGCCTAGAGTGGCTGGGGAAACCCAGCCAGATTGGGGGGGGTATAAATAATAAATTATTATTATTATTATTAAGTTTCTGGTGGAACATGCTGTGACCAATGACTAAAGAGATGGAGATTATGCCAGCTCTGCCTCCGCACATGTCCCTCATCTTTGGGTACCTGTCCTTCTGCCCTTCCAAAGTGTGGGGCTGTGGCTTATCAATCTATTGAGGGTTGAGCAGGATTTCTTTTGGGAAGCACTGATTAGGCCTTGGGGTCCCCCCCCCACTTCACACTATGTGGTGTTGTTTATGTTTGAAGTGGCATTTGATTAATTTGGCACTCACGTCCTTTTATCTGTCCCAAATCTCCCAAAATTCAGCTTCATTAGGTAAAGGGTAAAGGGACCCCTGACCATTAGGTCCAGTCGTGGCCGACTCTGGGGTTGCAGCGCTCATTTCGCTTTATTGGCCAAGGGAGTCAGCGTACAGCTTCCGGGTCATGTGGCCAGCATGACTGAGCCGCTTCTGGCGAACCAGAGCAGCGCACGGAAATGCCGTTTACCTTCCCGCCGGAGTGGTACCTATTTATCTACTTGCACTTTGACATACTTTCGAACTGCTAGGTTGGCAGGAGCAGGGACTGAGCAACGGGAGCTCACCCTGTTGCGGGGATTCGAACCGCCGACCTTCTGATCGGCAAGTCCTAGGCTCTGTGGTTTAACCCACAGCGCCACCCGTGTCCCTTCAGCTTCATTAGGAGTCCGTGAATTCTAGTGTTAGGTGAGAGGGAGGAACCCCCCCCCCAATGATCTTAACCAAAGACCTATCGACTTCTGGTGCACCCCCTTCTCTTCCTCTTGTCCTCCTGGCAATTAAAGAGGATTTGAAAAATTATAGACCTCCGGCAAACTTCCAAATGGCCTGTTCTCCGCTCGCCGCCTCTTTCTCTCTGGCCCAGTCAGGCTGGCATCCTTCCACGGGCCTTCATTATATTTTACGGCCATGCTACAGTAGTTAAGAGCATAATTTAGGAAGTGTCAGAAGCGAAGTATGTGGGAGCCATCTTAACCCTCCTGCGGCACCGAGCGCTGACTCAAAATGACACACTGCTCAGGGAAACATTAGTGTTGTCTTTACACGGGGAAAAATATGTTCTTCCAGGGCTTCTACATAAATATGCTAGGATGGTCCTGGCCACCGCTGCCCCCCCCCACAAGCCGCCAATCCCCCAGCAAACCGAGCATGATGCTTCTCTGAGCAAGGGAGGGCAGACAGAATTGTAGAGTTGGTTATCTAGGCCAACCCCCAGCAATGCAGGATTTTTTTTTTGTCCCCAGGTAGGGTTCGAACTCACGATCCTGAGGTCAAGGGTCTCATGCTCTTCCGACTGAGCTGTGATAGAAGGAAGCGGAGAATGTTGCCGCGCAGGAGAAGGCAGCCGGATCATAGAAGGGCTACATGTGAACCCCAAAAGAGGATGCCCATTGCATAAAATTTGCATAAAATTTGCACATACCAATTTAAAGGTAAAGGTACCCCTGACCATTAGGTCCAGTCGCAGACGACTCTGGGGTTGCATGCTCATCTCGCTCTAATTTAAATGTAGAGAGATGCAATTAAATAAATTGCTATAATGTAAATATTGGCAATACGACGGCTGGCACCCAGTCAGCCTTACCCCAGATATGCCCACTCAACTGGATGGAATTGGCACTCCTACAGGTGATACAAAATATCCATCTCACATCTGTAAGAACTCAGTCTTTTAGTGTGGCAGTGTCTACCCTTCGGAACTCCCTGCCTCTTGAAATCAGGCAGGCGCTTTCACTGTAGTCTTTTTAGCACCTGCTAAAAATATTTTGGTTTAGACAAGCATATCCAGACATACGGCATGTAAAACGTAGGTGCATGTTTTAATCTGCTTTCAGTTTACAGCTGATTTTAATTTTTCTGAATGTTTTAATGCATTGTTTTTACCGAATTTTTTTATTGTTTTATTCTCTGGATAAACCACTTTGAGGGCTTCTTACTTTTCTTTTTTCTTTTGAACCATCAAGCAATGTACAAATTTGTAAATAGAAATAAATATCCAACTAAGTTTTGCTCAGAGAAGACCTGCTGAACAGGACTAGGCCTATTGATTTCATTTGATCTGTTCTTTTGGCAGCTCTGCTCAAAGCTGACTACTGCAATGAGTTTGCTGTCAAAGTGCTCAAGCTGTTGCAGGACACCTTCCCACGCACCCCTCTGCTGGTGGATCTTCCTCCTCACCGTTCTTTATCATCAAACTGGACTTCCACCAGACAGCCCTTTTAAACAGACCTATGGTAGCCCAGCAGAGAGTTGTCCAGATGCCAGCAGTCTTCTTCTTCTTCTTCTTCTTCTTCTTCTTCTTCTTCTTCTTCTTCTTCTTCTTCTTCTTCTTCTGTTCTGGGATACCTCAGTCTGTAGAGTATGAGACTGTTTTAAGCTCAGGGTTCAAGCCCAGGTTTGGGCAAAAAATTCCAGGGGGTTGGACTAGATGTTTCCCAAACTTCGGACTACAGCTCCCATCATCTGTAGCTAGCAGGACCAGTGTTTTGGGATGATAGGAACTGTAGTCCAAAAACATCTAGAGACCCAAGTTTGGGAGAAACTAGAATAGATGATCCATGTTGTCCCTTCCAACTCTACAATTCTATGATCCTATGATTTACCACCCTTTTCTCCAAAGATTACAGGGCGGTCCGTAACATAAATGTTCACAACGTTGTGCAAGAAACAGATCGATGGCTGAAAGCAAGGCACTTCCTAGCTACTGAGCAACTATTTGGGGGAGCTTTGAATTTTATTTCCCTGTTGTTTTAAAGCCCTAATAATGACGCCGAGACTCCCTTGAACAGAGTTTGAGAACTTCCTTTCTGGAGCGGCTGAAAATAGTCCACGGAGCTGTTATCCGAAAGGGGTGGATGTGATCTTTGGGAAGTATCCATTCCTGGCACCGGCGAAGTGCAGAACTCAATTGCTGCTAACGAGGATGAAATTACAGAGGCATTAGTGTAATTACAATGAGAAAACTCTTCTAGTTCAACAAAGATGATTGATGCTGCCGGAAGGCTTGGTGGGAAGTGGTTCCAAGTGCGTTGTCCCCTGCGCTATTTATCTCCTGCGAACGCCGCACGCAAGGAAGAGCAGGCCTGCCTGACAAATTTAAAGGATGGGAGGAAATGGCAGGGAATGTGGCAAGCGGATCTCTATCAAGTAAATAATGTGCGTTGGCAGAGCCACCGACAAGGAAGGGTGCAAGATTCTGGAAACTGCGCACCTCAAGAGGAAAGCGAGGAGACTGGGCCATAAATCTAGTCGTCCGCTCAGGAGGGCTTGGAGGTGTGTCTATACGGAGATGGTTGCCAAAAACATCTCCACGCTTCTCCAGGACTGTACCTGCGTCGTCCGCACCAGTTGATAGCTGCTCACGACTTCCAACCCCCCCAAAAAACCTGTTTAAAATGTTGGGGGAAGTAGCTATAGAGGCGAGGCCCCCCAACCCGCTTATATTTTTATTTTATTTTAAATTCCAGTGCCGAGGCAGGTTAACGAAGCTCCAGGTGTTCTTTCTAGAGAAAAAGAGATTAAGAGTCAACATTAATCAAGTTTACAGCATATTCAAATGAGGAGATGAAGTGAGGGAGGATGCACCATAAACAACCACCCAGCCTGAAAGGTTTTCCTAATGAGCCCGGATTTTCAGCGAGGGATTTGCCAGGGTCGAGGTGGGTGGCAGGGAAGAAATAGGTGAGTTTTGCGCAAAAGTGGAACGAGAGCCCCAAACTGGGATATTTTCTCCCTGATTAATTGGATCGCTGTTTAGAAATCTGGGGAAATGGATGAGCGGCAGATTCGGGGACAAAGGGAAGCGCTACTTCGCACAGGGTGGAATTAACGTACGGGAATTGCTGTTGCAAGGCGTGAGGGTGTTTGAAAGCAGGATTCAGCCCCTGACTATAGTCACAGAAGCAAAATGGGATGCTGTAGTAGTAGTAGTAGTAGTAGTAGTAGTAATAATAATAATAATAATAATAATAATAATAATTATTTATTCTTTATACCCCACCCATCTGGCTGGGTTTCCCCAGCCACTCTGGGCGGCTTCCAACCGAATATTAAAAACAATACAGCGTCAGACATTAAAAACTTCCATAAACAGGGCCGGCTTCAGTTGTTTTTTAAAAGTAAAATAGTTGTTTATTGCCTTGACATCTGCTGGGAGGGCGTTCCACAGGGCAGGCGCCACTACTGAGAAGGCCCTCTGCCTGGTTCCCTGTAGCTTTGCTTCTCACAGTGAGGGAACTGCCAGAAGGCCCCTGGTGCTGGACCTCAGTGTCCGGGCTGGATGATGAGGGTGGAGGCGCTCCTTCAGGTATGCAGGACTGAGGCCGTTTAGGGCTTTAAAGGTCAGCACCAATACTTTGAATTGTGTTCAGAAACGTACTGAGAGCCAATGCAGATCTTTCAGGACTGGTGTTATGTGGTCTTAGCGGCCGCTCCCAGTCACCAGTCTAGCTGCCGCATTCTGGATTAATTGCAGTTTCCAAGTAACCTTCAAAGGTAGCCCCACGTAGAGTGCATTGCAGTAGTCCAAGCGAGAGATAACCAGAGCATGCGCCACCCTGGCGAGACAGTCTGCGGGCAGGTAGGGTCTCATCCTGCGTACCAGATGGAGCTGGTGGACAGCTGCCCTGGATACAGAATTGACCTGCAGCTCCATGGACAGCTGTGAGTCCAAAATGACTCCCAGGCTGCACACCTGGTCCTTCAGCAGCACAGTTACCCCATTCAGGACCAGGGAGTCCTCCACACCTGCCCACCCTTTGTCCCCCCATGAACAGTACTTCTATCTTGTCAGGATTTAACCTCAATCTGTTAGCCGCCATCCATCCTCCAACTCCCTCCAGACACTCACAGAGGACCTTCATTGCCTTCACTGGTTTCTGGGAGTGTTAGGAGATCCGTATGGTTCTCGCAGAGCTATGGTTTCCCGAGCGCCTTAACAATCAATCCTTCTTCTTGGGGGATTCTGGGAATTGTAGCTCTCCGCGGGAAACAGAGGACTCTCCTAACACCTCCTAGCGCCTTTAACAAATTGCAGTTCCCAGAATTATTTGGGGGAAGCCATGACTGTGTAAAGTGGAGTCGTAGCAGGGCTTTCCAGGTATGGAACGAATGTGGCCACTGGGCCTAACGGTAGGGCTGGCCAAATCTGTTGCTCCGCTCATTGCCTCAGCCTCCTGCATTGCAGCGGGTTGGGCTAGATGAGCTTTGGGGTCCCTTCCAACTCTCCAGCTCTATGATTTGGATTTGGGGGTTATTGGGTTGTTTTGATTACATACTTTGCGTTTTGTGTTCTGGTTTTGTTCTGTGAGCTGTCCTGAGACCTTCAGGTATAGGGTGGTATATAATAATAATAATAATAATAATAATAATAATAATAATAATATTGTGGGGGCCGTGAATCAGCATGTGTGGTGAAGGTGGTCACCCCAGAAGATGTGGAGTGGAACGGAAGCAAACGCTGGTCAAGAAAGCTCTCGTTTAAGCAGGCCTGAAAACCTGATTTTTAAGGGAAGAAATGTCTTGTCTGGAACATGAGAGCAAAATTCTTGGTGAGGCGCCAGCCCAGCTGAGATCAGGCCCCAAGGCGAAGAAGATACAAGGCTCATTACAGATCTGAGTGACATTCGTGAAACCCCTTGTACCCCAATTATGCGTGGGAATGCATCACTCCTCCCAAATAATTAAGTTTTTAAAAAGTAAAACACTAAAAAAAAAAAAAAATTTTCCCCCAGTGTCATTTACTAGCACAGAACTGAATTTTAGTGAGAGAAAAGAGTGAATCGCGAGGCAGGAAAAATGGGATGTTTGGAGGGATAAAACAGAAGCCTGTCCCCGAGTGTTTGAACTCACCTCTTCCTCTTTGCTTAATCTTATTTCTGCTTATTTATTCCAACATATTTTGGCTTGTTCTGAGAACATGGGAGCCCAGTTTGCTCTTTGCCCTCTTTGTGGGTAAATGGGAGGGGATTTCTTGCTTTGCTCATTTTTTGAAGCTACTCTCAGCTGCTTCATCAGAGCTGGCCTTTTGAGGAAGTGGCTGATATTTCGGCTCATGAGCAGGTTTCGACGAGATGCAGGATTTAATAGGGCTTATTTTCTCTATTTTGCTTTCAACCTTCTCTTTATTCCCTTATGAGGCGCAGACTTTGCTATTCCAACTTTAAACATTCCCCCCCCCTCTTTTTTTTTAAACAACAACCTGGGACTTCTATTTGGACCACTCTGGATCTTGGATTCAGCTTTCAGAAGCCAGTTTCGTGGATCCCTACGTAGACTGACAGCTATAATCCACCCCATCCCTCCAATCTTTGGGTTAAACTGCCATAAGTCTGGAAATTCTGCAAGTTTTTAAGTACTTTGCACAAGGAATGTTGTTGGACGATGCCGTCAGGCCTTTGTGATAAATGCTTTGTTCTTAGCTGTTTGGTTAATAGTCTTACTTACCAGTCTAATATTGTTTCCCACTCATAAATGGCTCACTTTTTCAACCCTTGAATTTCAGTTACTGCTAAAAGTGTATTCTCCCCGCTCCCCATTTAATGTAAGCAGACCTTTACCATTTATGCTATTATTTTGTCTGACTCTTGTCATGTCTGACTCATGATTACTCCCACCCCCAGACCCCAAGAGTGAAATTTGAGAACTTACTTGCAGGATCTTTCAATCTCAGGTTTTCATTTTTCCAATCTTAAATTCACTTCACAATATTTCCAGCATCAGTTTGTTGGATTTTTATTTTTATTTTTTAAAGAAAAAGCCCTCATGAAAATTGTAACCACTTTAAAGCGCAGATTTTTCTTTGCAGCGCTTCCCCATGATAGACACATTTTTGCAAGCCGTTTTCTCGAATAAATGCATTTTAATTGGTTATTTTCATTAATACCTCAAGGACCGCCTCTCTTCATATGAACCTACCTGAGGTCATCTTCTAAGGCCCTCCTTCGTGTGCCTTCTCCTCAAGAGGTCCGGAGGGTGGCAACACAAGAACAGGACCTTTTCTGCAGTGGCTCCCCGTCTGTGGAATGCTCTCCCCAGGGAAGTTTGCCTGGCGCCTTCATGATACATCTTTAGGTGCCAGGCGAAAACGTTCCTCTTTAAGCAGGCTTTTGGCTGGCAGACATCCAATGCCCTTTAAAAATGTGTTGGGTTCGTCTTGTTTTGATTTTTATTATGTATTTTGTGTTTCTATATTGTGATTTTATGTTGTGAACCACCCTGAGACCTGTAGGTATAGGGTGGTATACACATTTAACAACACCAACACCAACACGTGCCTTGTCCCAGTATTCCTGAAGGAGCGTCTCCACTCCCATCGCTCAGCCCGGACACTGGGGTCCAGATCCGAGGGCCTTCTGCTGGTTCCCTTACTGCGAGAAGTGAGGTTACAGGGAACCAGACAGAGGGCCTTCTTGGTAGTGGCACCCTCCCTGTGGAACACCTTCCCTTCAGATGTCAAGGAGATAAAGAATTATATAACTTTAGAAGACATCTGAAGGCAGACCTATATTGGGAGGTTTTTAATGCTTGATCTTTTACTATACAGTTATACCTCAGGTTACAGATGCTTCAGGTTGCATTTTTTTGGGTTGCAGACTGCCGAAACCCAGAAGTACTGGAACGGCTTACTTCCAGGTTTTGGCAGTCGCGCATGCTCAGAAGCGCTAAATTGCAACGTGTGTGTGTGTGTATATATATATATATATATACGTATATAAAAATGTAAGCCGCCCAGAGTGGTTAGGAAAACCCAGCCAGAAGGGCGGGGTATAATAATAATAATAATAATAATAATAATAATAATAATAGTGTCCACTTTCCCTTTAGGTACATATATTTTTGGCTGAAGACCTGTGTTGCAAAACTTGAAGAACTGTGAATTTCTGAAGGACACCTGCCTTTCTGCTTGTGCATCCTTTCGTGACGTGTGAGTTAGGTAAGATATGAACCACAGTGAATTTCCGCCTCCATACCCAAGCCTGGAGTCTGAATCATAGAATCATAGAATTGTAGAGTTGGAAGGGACCCCATGGGTCATCTAGTCCAACCCCCTGTGACGCAGGAATCTGAACTCAAGCATCCATGACAGATGACCATCCACTCTCTGCTTAGAAACCTCCAAGGAAGGAGAGTCCACAACCTTATGAGGGAAATGGTTCTGAGATGCTATCATGCTGATGCTTCATGCACTGGCACCATTGGCCTGGTTTACTCATGACACCAAGCATGTGGGAATCCTTCTCTGGAAGGTCTGGATCCCCACACCCACCCAAAGTGGAGCTCCCAAAGTGGAAGAGGTGAAGCAGACTGTTGAAGGAAAGCAGCCCCTTGACATGAGCTCTTGCGCTTCTTCTACAGGAACAGCGGCCATCTTGGGTTGTCTTGAGGTGCCCAGGTGGTGTTGTCATTCTAGCACAGACTTTTGTAATAATAATAATAATAATAATAATAATAATAATAATAATAATAATAATTTATAACCTGCCCATCTGGCTGGGTTTCTCCAGCCACTTTGGGCGGCTTCCAATGGAATATTAAAATACAATAACCTATTAAACATTATAAGCTTCCCTAAACAGGGCCGCCTTCAGATGTCTTCTAAAAATCTGGTAGTTGTTTTTCTCTTTGACATCTGGTGGGAGGGCGTTCCACAAGGCGGGTGCCACTACTGAGAAGGCCCTCTGCCTCCTTCCCTGTAACTTGGCTTCTCGCAGCGAGGGAACCGCCAGAAGGCCCTCGGAGCTGGACCTCGGTGTCTGGGCAGAACAATGGGGGTGGAGATGCTCCTTCAGGTATACTGGGCCAAGGCCATTTAGGGCTTTAAAGGTCAGCACCAACACTTTGAATTGTGCTCGGAAAGGTACTGGGAGCCAATGTAGGTCTTTCAAGACCGGTGTTATGTGGTCTCTGCAGCCGTTCCCAGTCCCCAGTCTGGCTGCCACATTCTGGATTAGTTGTAGTTTCCGGGTTACCTTCAAAGGTAGTCCCACGTAGAGTGCATTGCAGTAGTCCAAGTGAGAGACAACTAGAGCATGCACCACTCTGGCGAGACAGTCCGCGGTCAGATAGGGTCTCATCCTGCATACCAGATGGCGCTGGTAAACAGCTGCTCTGGACACAGAATTGACCTGTGCCTCCATGGACAGTTGTGAACCCAAAATGACTCCCAGGCTGCGCACCTGGTCCTTCAGGGGCACAGTTACCCCATTCAGAACCAGGGAGTCCCCCAGACCCGCCCGCTCCCTGTCCCCCAAAACAGTACTTCTGTCTTGTCAGGATTCAACCTCAATCTGTTAGCCACCATCCATCCTCCAACTGCGTCTTGACTGGGGGAAGAATGGCCCTCACCCCAAGCCCGAATCTTCCCGCTGCAAGACACTTACCTGCATGAACCACGTTGGCAATAAATAGCCTTACTAGGATATCATTTCAGTTGGTAGAGCATGAGATGCTTAATCTCAGGGTTGTGAGTTCGAGTTCCACGCTGGGCAAAAGATTCTTGCATTGCTGAGGGGTGCCCTAGATGACCCCCCCATGGCCCTTCCCAGTGGGTTTCAGAGTTGGGTGTGTGTAACCAGTGGCGTAGCGTGGGTTGTCAGCACCCGGGGCAAGGCAAGTGATTTGCGCCCCCAACCCGTGGATTTTAGTAGGGGCAGAGAGCTGCGAGTGCGAGAGCACCCCCCCAGATGTTGCGCCCGGTGCGGCCGCCCCCCCTGCACCCCCACGCTATGCCACTGTGTGTAACAAAGGGGGCAGGTGAGCTTCCCCGGGAGGAGCATTTCACAAATGGGGAGCCACTGCAGAAAAGGCCCTGTCCTTGTTTTGCCACCCTCCGGACCTCTTGTGGAGGAGGCACATGAAAAAGGGCCTCAGGTGATGATCGCAGGATCTGGGTAGGTTCATACGGGGAGAGGTGGTCCTTGAGATATTGCGGTCCTGAGCTGTTTAAGGCTTTATAGGACAAAAGCAACACTTTGAAAGATCTACTAACTAAGAACAAAAGAGCATAAGAAGAGTTTGCGGGATCAGGCCAGTAGCTCCACAGCTTAAGAGGCCTCCAAACAACCACCTCAAGACCAGCATATGATAGGAGCAGCTGCAGACAGGCTCCATGTTAGCATCTAGGCTGGGCACCAGGACTAACGCTGGTCAACACAGTATGCTTTAAAAAAAATATATATATATAAGCATTTTATAATTGGGAAGTGGCTCTCCAGGCGTCTAATTAGCTACAGATGCTCAGTTTATTATCTTCACTTTAAAAATGTGCTACCCTTTTCTACGGCAAAACGGATGCTTGCTATTCCCAGGTAAATGTGTTTAGTATCAGGATGGGAGAAGTAAACTCTGTTTGATTCCTGTATACATTTTAAAATAGCCTTTCCGTGTGTGGACCAGGAAGCAATCTACCCAGAAACGTTTGCATATATGTGTATGTGTGCGTTTCAGTTCCAGCGACTTGGTTTTATTCCCGCCACAACCGTTTGCCTTTGTGTCCCCCCCTCCCCCATTCCCTGCAATTCAGTTGCATTCATGACATTCAGGTATGCCAGGTGTAGATGAATTCACGGCAGATGAGGCTTATCAGTAGCTGACAACTCTGCAATTCTATGATTTAGCCCACAAGAGATTTCTTGGACACTTTGCTTGGTCAGTTATCACCAGTTCAGACCCCATACTGTATGCAAACTTAGGCTTTTACTTCCAGTATGTTCCCTTCTAACTTTGTAGGATTTTAATGCTTGTGAGCTTTGTGCTTCTAACATGATTCCGATTTTTACTCTGTTTTTTAGTACACCTCTCTGGTATTCTTTGAATGCAGAGTAAGGTAAAGGTAAAGGACCCCTGACAGTTAAGTCCAGTCGTGGATGACTCTGGGGTTGCGGCGCTCACCTCTCTTTACAGGCCGAGGGAGCCGGCGTTTGTCCGCAGTTTTTCCAGGTCATGTGGCCTGCATGACTAAGCCGCTTTTGGTGAAACCAGAGCAGCGCACGGAAACGCCATTTACCTTCCTGCCGGAGTGGTACCTATTTATCTACTTGCACTTTGATGTGCTTTTGAACTGCTAGGTTGGCAGGAGAAGGGACTGAGCAACGGGAGCTCACCCCGTCACGGGGATTCGAACTGCTGACCTTCCGATCGGCAAGCAGTTTATAAATCCCAAAATTAAATGAATGGAGTCTGCCTAGTGTTAAAACCTTTGCCTTCTCATGATTCTGTACTGCTGCAGTGGCATGCGGTGAAATTTTCCGTAGGGAACAGTTAGGGACAGAGGTGCCAGTGATGTCACACACACGAGCATTTTGCCTCCCTCTCCATGCTAGGCAGAAGTTTCTTGGGCTATGGGAATGAGGCAACAGGCTTTAACAGTTTAATGCTCTAATTTACCGGGAACATTTAGGGGATTAGTCTAGTCCCCCTAGTCCACTGACCGCATGCAGCTGGAGCGAAGGCAGTCAAATCTGAATGTAATCTTCAAGCTGGACTACTGCAATGTGTTCTGTGTGGGGCTGCCCCTGAAACTGCAGCCAGGGCAAAATTTTGAGGCTTGACTGCCCCTTGGGCAAACTGTTATTATCATTACCAGAACCACCGTGCGACACCATTGCTGAAAAAATTGCATTTGCATGCAAAAAGAGAGAGGTTTCAATGACAGTTCAAAGGAGAGGTGTTCGGATTGTGCAGCTAACTAGGAATTTGAATCACAAAGCCATAAATTTCCCCGTGTTGCCACTGATGGGTAGTAGTAGTAATAATAATAATAGTAATTTATTATTTGTTCCCCAGCCACTCTGGGCGGCTTCCAACAAAGATGAAAAATACATTAAAATGTCACACATTAAAAACTTCCCTGAACAGGGGAAGCCTTCAGATGTCTTCTAAATGTCAGGTAGTTGTTTATCTCTTTGACATCTGATGGGTGGGAATTCCACAGGGCGGGTGCCACTACCAAGAAGGCTCTCTGCCTGGTTTCCTGTAGCTTGACTTCTCGCAGCGAGGGAACCGCCAGAAGGCCCTCAGAGCTGGACCTCAGTGTCCGGGCAGTACGATGGGGGTGGAGACGCTCCTTCAGGTATACTGAGCCGAGGTCGTTTAGGGCTTTCAAGGTCAGCACCAACACTTTGAATTGTGCTCAGAAACGTACTGGGAGCCAATGTAGGTCTTTCAGGACCGGTGCTATGTGGTCTCGGCGGTCCTTCAGGGGCACAGATACCCCATTCAGGACCAGGGAGTCCTCCACTCCCGCCCGCCACCTGTCCCCCAAGAACAGTACTTCTGTCTTGTCAGGATTCAACCTCAATCCATTAGCCGCCATCCATCCTCCAACCGCCTCCAGGCAATGTCTTGAATTTTGGCCTTCTTCCCTTTCATCATTAAAAAGCCCCCCAAGTCTGAAATCAAACAGCCGTCTTGTGTTGGGTGAAGTAATATCTCTAATTTGTGTGTACCTTTTCTTGATCTCATCACCTACTAGGTTTAAGGTCAATGGCTGTGGAATACCAAGCAGACATTAAATGAGACCGTGTCGCTAATTCAGTCCAGCGAGATATGTTTCATATCACAAAGGGATTTGTTCTGATACTCAAACAATGTATATTAATGAAATAGTTGAAAGCGATTCATTTGGTTTTCAGAGCAAACACATTAATGGAGGGTGGGGTGGGGGAAAACCATTGAGAAGTAAAGCATGCTGCTTCTTTTTTTAAACTGTGCTTTATTTAGGGCTAAGCTGGTAAGCGTCATTCAATAATTACAGAAGATTACAAGGAGTTTTAGGGAATTGAGAATCAGAGAGCAGTTGTATGGAACTGCAGAGTCATTTACACACCTAGATTAGGGGCTTGTTTCAGTGGTCTCATCCCAGCCAAACAACCAGAGAAGACCAGGGGGGTGTTTAGCCAGTATAAAGACTTCAAAATCAGGCCCAACAAGGAGAAAGACAGAGAACAGTTTCTTTAAAAAACAAAATAAGAAATCCCCCAAATCTGAACGAAAAGGCAAACAATTATTCGTAAAAGAACAGTGTCATTGTTCTCGGTCCAATAAAATGGAGTAAAGGGGAAAAAACACACCCTTAAAAATCAAGTTTTAACACAGTGGAAATAAATTATAATAAATATGATATACTTTAAAATATATGTGTTCTTAAATAATTCATTGTTTCTATTTTTCTGATTCAGATTTTAAAGCAACTTTTTTTTAAACTGCTCTAAAGTCATTTACCAAAGATAAATATCGTGCTTTCCTTAAATAGTTTTCCTTGATTTTTTTTCCTCTATCATTACAATTAAAAGTCCTACAAAATATGCAAATTTATTTACAGAAAAACAGAGCCAGCATCTTTTATTTTTAAACATCCCCCTGTTTTTCAAAATTCCTTGTAAACAGTTTCAGAAATTCTTCAAAGAGATTGCATTTTTGTAATTTTTTTTGTTTTTGTTTTTGTGTTTTAAATATTTTTTTTAAACTTTTTTTGTGGTTTTTTTTTTTTAAGATTAAGGTTCTAGGCTAAACCCCGCTCCCCACCCCACCCCTGTCCTGAAGGGTTCTGGAGCAAATATGGAAGCTACTGAAGCGAAAGATGATTGGAAGTTGCTGGCGACAGCTTATGGAAACATGAAAGCGTCTTAGCTGTGGTTTTCTTTTTCCAGTTTATTTATTTTTTCGTCAAGTTCGAACTAACTTCCAATAGTCTGCAAGAAGATAGCCGTCGAGTCCCCCGCCCCGCCCCCCCTTTGCGTTGCCTACAGGAATTGAGAAATTTTTTTTGTTTCGTTTGCTTATTAGTTTTATTTATTTATTACTAGCTGGAATGCTTGCAGTTTAAAAAGCTGCCGAGATCAGCCATCTTCTCCTTTGCCCCCCCTTCCCCCCACCCCCAATAAGACACAGCTTCCAACAGCAGTTGGCTGAGAGCAGGAACTGATTTCATTCTAAACTCTACAAAAGTTACAGTTCTACAACATCTTTGTGGATTTTTTTTTTTTTAGCATTAATGCTAACCTCTATGTATATTTTTTTTTGCTTTTTTATTTTTTTATTTTTGCTTTTTATGTCATCTAATCCTTTCCCCCCTATTATATAGGTATTTTAAACTTTTTTTTTCTTTTTTAAATTCTGTACAGCTATTTTAGGGCGGGTGGAGTCAGAAGCATTTACAAACTTGTGTTCTTTCTACTTTGCATCAGCCTTCTTGTCTTCGTCTTCTGCGCCTTCTTCATCATCATCATCATCATCATCATCACCATCACTTGCCAGTCCAGTGATCTGCTTATTTATGTGGGTTCCTCCTTTTCCTTTGTCTGCTTTCCACAGATACCCACCTCAACCTTCCCCTTCTAAGCACTCAATCCATACATATTATACAGAAAACCATACGAAAGTTTCATAGACTCTTAATTAATGTATAACCAAAGATCCTCCCCAAGTATCAAAGAACTATTATCTTGCCATTTTTTTTAAAAGCGTTTAAGCGGTTTTTTTTTTTTTA